GCTGTGAAACTGCATAGTATTGAGCAGGTAAAATAGAGTACATCTTGACATTCTGACATAACTTGGATTGATCTTGACTGAGTTATGAATTTTTGAATTTTACTCAAAAATAGGCAGAAATGAGATATTTCACGTAATGTACGTTTCCACTAAGTTTTTGAAACTGTTCAGAAAAACAAATATTGCCACAAAACTCAGCATGGTCGATTACCCATAGCGCATACGTTTTTTCCAGACTATCAGTTCATGAAAAAAAAGCAATACAATCCTATTGGAAAATATTTACAGACGGCATAGTTTTCCAAAAATCTCTTAGAAAACCTGTTTCAGAAAACTGTTATAGGAATATGCCCCCAAGTTTCCTCTTTCCGCTGGTGAAAATCTGAGCTCTCTAGCTCTTTTCTATCAAAAGATATTCAAAACACAACCAAGTGCACGGTGTTTTGACGCTGATAATAGAAAAATGTTTTTCATATCTGGAAAACAAAGTAGTAGTAGTTTGCTAACCCGTGTTTTGTGATACCCCCAGGTACACACTATCGATAGATGATAAGAAAAAATCTAGGTTTTACCTTTTGTTTCAGTCAAATTTTTTCACAAAAACGGTACTATTTTTATTAGAATCACTCATATGTATATATTATTTCACTGTGTAAAGATTGTGAAAAAATCTTTTGTACTTTTTATGTTATTATATTGTAAAAGGGAATATTTTGTTATTTAACAGAAATTCAATGTATAATGTGTCTGTTTATCTTTAAATGTTTTAGATTTACATAGTTTTTTCCTCGTTTCAACCTGCTGCTGATGGTGGTTATTATATTACATCGAAAACGTTTAGCAAAAGATAAATAAAAATACGGAGACAGTGAACAAAATTAAAATAAGATCATTACAGCTTACTGAAGTAAGTAGCCTTGAACCTGTATTCCCTTCTTTTTTTCTTATGATGAGTAGTGTTGGTGGTGCCCATATCCATCAGATAAATGAGTAAATACACATACAAAAGACCAGTATATTCGGAGAAATTTGATTTCGTGGTTTTCGATAGCTTCAGTTGCGAATACTATAGTGGAATATTTTTCAGCTTGTATTCTGAAAGAATAAAGCTTATATGAATCAATGATATTTTTCTCTTTTTCCTTTTGCATAGGCTCTAACTCAGTCTCTCTTCCTTTCTCCACAGAATAATCGGAACTATGTTTCTCACTTTATCTCTTGCGTTTGTGATCCTATATAAATTATTCAGCAAAACTAACAAATCCTAGTCAATGACTGTTATTGTTACAGCGTACTCAAGTAAGTGTTGAAACTATACTCTCTTTTTCTTGTGCCAGTCAGATATTTAGCTATGTGATGAATGAGAAAATTCTGAATTGAGAATGCATCTGAGGGTGAGAGGGAATAGAAATAAAAATAATTTTCCATTCTGTTTCATAGTGAATCGCAAGTAATTTTAGGAAAACGCCAAGTTTCAACCAGATTCCAATTCTGTAAAGGTGAAAACCCTAATACCTTCTTTATCGTTATTTAATTAGAAATCACTCTCGCGAGTAAACAGATTATCTGTTTACTCGCGAGAGTGATTTCTAATCTTCTATCTGCTACAGATAGAAGAAACATTAGATACGTATCTTTATTTACTTAAAGAAGATTAGATTGTGCTATAACCTTCCAAACATTTGAAATCTTTCTTGGATAAACCGCATACAGTGCAAGAGTAATGTGCTGCTATTTTGAAATATATATTCTCTCGCATTTTTTGAAAATTATCGATATCAATTGTGAACCCAATAGAGAGTCGGTATGATAAGTTATTATATAAATATGAAAATTTCCTCTTTGTACCAAAGCTGAACTTGTTTTGATCAAAATAATCTAATTCATGAAAAACAATGAACGTATAGGACATTCGACTTCACCTTTTGCACAATCCGAATACTAGCTTCGTGCTGTCCTAAAAGAGTAGTGGCAAAATTTCGTAAGTACTACCCAGAACTAATGAAAATCTTTTAAAGCAGAGATCTAGAAAAGTAACACGTATTGTTTTCCTCATTTAAAGTTGATCCTACGAGGGAGCATAAAAGTTGGGAACTCAGCTTCTTAATGTTTCAAGTTGGTTTAGGTGACAGTGGGAAGGAGAGAAGGGAAAAATCTGAATTTTTTCTGATATTGGGATCAGTTGTGAAAGTTTCTAATCTGTTACTGTAAACGAAATCTATTTTCAAACAGATATTTTAAGAGAACTGTCATTTCAGCAAATTTTTGACTGTTCTCGAAGAGGGCGATTTTCTACGTTACTCGCTTATGTCCTTTATTATAGAAATTAGTACATAATCTTACATATTTCCGGAAAAGTACAATTTTGAATGGAGACAGCGCAGGAGTATCAAGCCTTCTCACCTTCACCAAAGAAGTATATTCCTTCTTCCTCTCTTCCATCCATAGTTCCATATGTATTTCATGGTTTAGACTTGGAGGCCTAACATTACTGGCTTTGTGTTGTTTGGGCCTGCTCGGTTTAATACTTGCAGGCGTAATTGTGATCGCCCTAATACCTGTGTATTTAGAAAGACATGGCATCAATGGCCCTGAACGTAAGTTTACCATATAACTTTTAGTAAGTGTGAGAGAATTCTGTTTTGTTTTTAGGAGAAAGTAATATTATTCAACTAATTTACAATCTGCCCTTATCCAATACGGCATCAATTGTTAGTGGGGAAGTACCACAATCAAGATATGAAGTGTTACAAAATATAGTAAGAAGCAGCCTCATTGAGTTAGAGTATGATCAGCTCTTCCTTCTTTTAGCTACAACAACAGTTGGATAATGCAACCAGCGGCAGCCCAGCAAAAAAAACACAAGTTAAAGTGATCAATGTTATCGTACAACAACCACAAAGCATTGAGCAAGAGGTGAGTGAGTGTTACCGATGAATATTCCTTCGCATACAAATTTGGTGAATTGTGGTTGCGTTTAAAACCGCGAGAAACTAGGCGTTACGGGTGATCGCGATTCTCACAAGAAACACGTGGAACCGCGGATTTAATCTACTTTGCCGATGGCATGCGATTTCGAAAACAAAATCGCGATGAGTCATCGATTAACCACGCTGCTCGGTGAGTCAAGTTGCGATATATGACTCGTCGAGACCGCGGTTAATCGATGAATTATCGAAAACCGTGGTAGTCGGCTGACAAATGAAAATGAACGCCTTTTCCTAACAAATGAGGCTTTGGAGAATTTTTGTGCCCCGACTATCCCAGAAGCTACTTACTTTCGAAACTTTCTTGTTTTTATTATGACACGCTATTCTGAGTGAGGTTCATACGTCTTTTGCGCTTATATGTTCAGGCCTTAACCCTTTACACCCGAAGACACTTTTATTATAGCTGCAGCTGAAATAACTACTGCATTGAAGCTTACAGTTCTTCGGTACATCCTTGTTATATCTGGACTTAAGTAATGTTGCTGTGCTGCGTGG